ACCTCCATCCCCTGCTCGACCTCCACCCCCCTGCTCAACCTCCATCCCCCTGCTCGACCTCCACCCCCAGCCCCGGGGGGGACACTCACGTGGAAACCGCCGTTGATGGTCTCTGCAAACCAGACGTGCTTCTTCTCTTTGGCCTTGCTGGTCCACCAGTTCTTCCTGGGGATGCTGCTGGGGTTGGGGTACACGCAGGTCTCGCCCGTCTCCATGTTGCAGAAGACTTTGATGGCGTCCAAGGTGCAGCCCTGGTTGGGGTCGATCCAATAGTCTCCTGCAGGGAGGGCAAAGGGTGGGGTGAGGGTGAGGGTTTGGGGGTTGGAGCACCCGACTTGGCCTTGCTGGGTGCGAGAGGCTGAGGGAGAGGGACAGGGGAGGAGGAGGAGGAGGCTCTTTTTCATTTCACAGGGGACGCCGAGCTGGAAGGGATCATCCAGTCCAACCCTCAGCCCTGCACAGGACACCCCAAAATCCCACCCTGTGCCCCAGAGAATCATCCAAACCCTCCTGGAGCTCTGGCAGCCTTGGGGCCGTGCCCACTGCCCTGGGGAGCCTGGGCAGTGCCCAACCAGCCTCTGGGGGAAGAACCTTTCCCTGACACCCACCCCACCCCACCCCACCCCTGACACAACTCCAGGCTGTTCCTGGGGGTCCCTGGTCCCCGCAGAGCGGAGCCCTCACCGCTCTTCCACTCGGGGTGGCAGAGCTTGATGTCGCGGCAGGTCCTGGCCGGGTTCTTCTTGGAGCCCTCGGGGCTGCGGATGCTCTCGATCTGGTTGTTGAGGGACTTGAGCGTGGCGTCCACCTCCACGTCGTGCTGCCTCAGGCTCCCGGCGGCCTCGTCCGCCCTCATGTACCGGATGGGGTCGGGGCCCTTCTCGGGCTGGCCCAGCCCCGCGAACGCCGACATGTCGATGCCGGTGCCGGGCGGGCCGGGGGGGCCGGGGGGACCCGGGTTTCCAGGAGGACCCTGCGAGAGGGAGGAGATGCAATCCCGTCCTGGGGGGCTGCCCTGGCAGCTGGACCCCCCCTCCCCTCCCCTGCCCATCCCGGGGGTTTTCACTCACCGCAGGGCCGGGTTCTCCGCTCCGCCCGCGGGGCCCGGGGGGGCCGATGGGGCCGGGCATGCCATTGGAACCGTCCTTGCCAGAGGGGCCCACGGGGCCGGGGGGACCCTGAAAGAGCCCCAAAAGGGAGGTCAGGGAAGGTGCTGGGCAGCCCTCAGCTCCTGCCATCAGCTGACCCGGGCAGGGGCTCGAGGACAGAGGTGCCTCCTTTTCCTCTCACCCCCTCCAAATTCCTTTTCCTCTCACCCCCCCAAACTCCTTTTCCTCTCACCCCCCCAAACTCCTTTTCCTCTCATTCCCCCCCAGGACTTACCCTGGGACCGGAGGGACCTGCGGGACCAGCAGCACCTTGGTCTCCAGAAGGACCCTGAGAAGGGAGGGGGGGTGATGGTTAAGCCTGGCATCAGGGGGTGCTCAGCCCCAGCAGAGCCTCACACGGGCTCGGGGCTCTGCCCGTGGCCACATCCAGCTCCACGGGGAGACGTGGGGGGCCGGGGTCCCCACAGCAGCACTTACGGGGGGGCCAGGGAGACCCT